CTCCCCCCCGATTAACGCGGAAAGGAACTTTGGATCGTTCGATAAAAAAAGAAAAAGAAAAAAGAAACGAACAAAATTATCTAATCGAAATCGACGATACAAGTCACGATTGTCACGAAGTCTATGATATATCGAATAAAGGTAATAAGACGTGACCGGTTGTGCAAGACCCGTCGATGCTGCCATCTGACGTTAGAGACAAAAGAGGCAAAGATATTTTTGCATTGTCCTACAGTGCAACCGGTTTTCGAATTACAAGCGTCATTATCGTTAATGAAAAATGATATTCCGTTATGAAATACCTGAATACAAAGTGAGCACAAAGATTTAGTTGTCTTTACATCCCGCAAAGTACGTAGTACAAAAATTAATTTTTCAACAACAAAAAGTCAAACAAGTCACAAACTAAGTAGGAAGTACAACTCTCCTATTAAATTCTACGGAGCACAGACTTCGGTTGTATCGCAAGTTAGATTATCTGGATCGTGCCCAAGTAACAATTTAAAGGCACGTTCACAATGGGTCCAGGTCACTTGCCAAGGCCTATACCTATGTGAGTACCCTACAAAACATGTTTCCAATGATATATCGTTTAGTCAACGGTTTTGTCATACAACAACTTTTGTTGTACAAAACAATTGTTTGACAAAAATGTTGTTGTCACTTCGTCAAATTTTGTGAATCAAGTACTATATTCTCACTTAATGACAACAGGGTGACCTAAGGTACAGTACACACCGTGACAAAGACCACGTGGGTCGTTCAGAGACTATTCCTAGTGCACCAATGCGTGAGGGACCGATACTAAATCGAGTGCCGGTTAGTTTCGTCTCGTACGCAACCGGGGCGTCGTTGTCTATGGAATGTCAAATCTCGGAATATACCTACGAGAGGACGACGACACGACGCCCGACGTCGTACCGCGTCGCGGTGGTCTCTCCTGGCCATTTAAAGAGAGCCTTGCAATAACAGGCGCCAAGGTGGTCCCGAATCTTTAAAGGGAAAAGAGAAAAATTATCACTCGACCCAAGAACATATATTTACACTCTTTAAGAGTCCCTTTAAATCCAACCCAATGCTTCACGTTACAAAAACAATTTGATATTCGATCCCCACATATACATACATAGTAGAATTAAGAATTACCCGTCAAATATCGATTAATTTTGATTATCGTTAAAATCAAATTTGGGCAAAAAAAATTGAATTCGCACAACTTTTTATTTTTTCAATTTAAAATAAAAAACAGTACGTTTTACAAAACTCGATCAATTTGCCATCATCATGAATAATAACTACAAAAAAATCGCTACTCCTCAGCTAATCAAGATGACGTATCAAAACAAATATTATTAGACAAAAGAGGTGAAGTGATGGATATGGCGGGTTTACAATGGAGCAAGAATCGCGTGGGCGACAATGTCGCGTAGGTAGGATATACAATTTAGAATGTCGTATAGTCGTTTCGAACGCTTTAAACAATTTGTCCATCGATTTAATGGTATTCAGCCCTCCCCCCACTTTTCTACTATCATTGTTCAAAATTTCGTAAATCGACCCAGAAAACATGTACAACTAATCACAAAAACAATAAAACTTTAACTAAAATTTTGTTCTCGATACAATCGATAAATTTCTCTTCTCCTACCTTCCGATAAACATTTCTTCAAACGATTTACTCAACCCGCGTTCACCGTACGCACATGTACGTAACTACTGGGCAATTGACGCCAATTGCCAATCGTTGGGTTAATCTCAGTCTGACAATGTATGGCCTTATCTGCCGATACGCGAGGTAGAAGTAACGATGAAAACAAGGCATAAAGCAGTCGTTAAGGTCGGAGGACCCGAGCCAGAGCCACCCTGTACTTTGTTATTACGTCGAATCGCCTTGCGCGTCGCTTAGATTGAAAAGGGACTTGCGAAATTCCCGCCCACCCAAAGCCTAGGCACTCGTAACAGCCTTATGCGCCGATCGCAAGGATCAAATCGCCCACCCGATTCCCATAAAACAGCGACAGTTCGCCTCTCTTATCGATTTCATGCTCTATGCTTATATATTATTCACATATATATATAATAAGATATTTACCCACAATCAGATTTTCTCACCATTCCGAGCCTCGTATACATAACGATAAAACTTTTTCTTGCTTTCCTCAGATTCGCCAATCAGACAATAAAACCGCGATTGTCCCGACTCCTTATTGGAAAAGTCATAAAGCGTCATTTTCAATAAAATAACCAACGTAACAGCCGAACACATTGCGGAGCTTACGAGGTGACCGTATTTGTTAGTTTCTTTGGAATTTCGAAAGACGCGATAAACAGTACAGTGTATAATTATGTCACGTATAGACTAGACGTTACATTCTGCATTGCGCGTATACCCATAAATACAGCTGAGCGCAATACGTATACTCGATTAGTAATAATTAGTCATGCGAACAGGTATCTATAAGATAACCCGAAAAAAAAAATTTTGAGTCACGTTAATTTTTATTACCCGACTAGAGCGAAGTCCAAAAAAAAAAAGATTATCCCAGATCTTTTATTTTCGTTCCTAATAGATTATCGCTCGTACCGGGCACGGCTGCTCCCAACAGAATTCACGCACGTCCCGATCGATTATGTATCGATTTGTCACTAGAGCGGCTACTGTCACGGCCAGTAGCAGCGACATACATCAACGTGCTGGTAAACACAATAGCGTTAATACGCGAATCGACTACCGGATCGTACCTTAGCCCGGACAACAACCCCGACGATGACCGTAGATACGTTACAGTCGCGATATCTGGATTGACCGACTGGTTGGAGAGAAAAAATAATTATTTGCAAAAAACAGTCACGTCGGGTACGCGCAAAACGTGAATATTATTTCAGCAAGACGATCGCGCCTATAAAAAGCTTCTAGAATGTCTCGCGCAATGACGTAGGACGAGACGGAATCCATATCAGATCGGAATATAAATACAGTTTTATACATTCGAGATGACAGACCCAATTTCAATTTCAATTTTTCAGACTCGCCCGAGACCCTTTTTTTTGTCGCCACGAAAAAAGCTAAGATTAATCATTTTTGTTAGAGTCCACGAGAATCTCGTCCGTTACCGACCGAGCGGGGGCCAGACGTTATACTTGCGCAATACGAATTTCACAATTTACACGCTTCGAAATGGGAAGGGTCTATCCTGACTCGTGATATAACAATGGGATTTTTTTTTTAATAATGATTTGCATAATTTTTTATGGACCGAACAAATTTGGATGTTCGAGGTCAACAATGTTTTTCGTAAACGTATAATTAATTTTTATACCTACACACGTCGGCGAACTGTGTGTCTATAACGCGGCTGGTTACGATTTATGGGGATTGGGACGTGTGCGTAACGGGTGGTTGAGAATTATTTAAATCTTCGTAAAGCTTGTGGCGTGCAGCGTGAGGCTGCGCAGTGTCAAGATGGATTCTCGAGGGGTTCGTCAAGAGGACTAGGCGGGTTTTACGTGCAACACTTGAATCGTTCGAGGTCAACGAATATAGCACGTGTGTGTATACAGTGCAGTTAACGTTGCCTCTTAAGATGATTGAGCGAAGCTTTTAAAATCCGCCATTAAGCTCCTGTAATCTTACTGGAGCACCGATTGATAGGCACGATAGTAAACGGATTTATCAGGCAATAATATTATAGAAAGAAAAAAAAAACGCAACTAGTTTTACTTATCCCGTTAATGAAATAGAAAAATTTATAGAGCAGATTAAAATCGATTGGTAAAGTGCATCAGATTTTACTTAAGCTCGTGTACGCTGTTGTTGTACGAAACAACGACAATAATCGTCAACATTTTTTTAACTGTACAACGACAGCTTTTTACGGAACAAAGGATCTATCTGTACTTTGGTATAGACTTCGAACGTGTTACGGACATTGTATGGTACCGTAATAGCTTCATTCATATGTCACTGTAAGACTGAGTATCTTTAAAGAGATTCTCGATGCGTTAATTTCTTAGCTCCTACGCTAGACAAACGAGATAGGTGTGGAATAAGACAAAAAAGAAAGAAAAAGGGGAAAAAAAGAGGAAAAAATAAATAAAGGGGATGGACCAAGAGAGCGGATGGGCATTAGCATGGATCCCGTGAAACGGAAGTCGTCTTCTGCGACATGGAAGAAGGGTTAGGACGTCGTGACAGGAAAGAAAAAAAAAATACAGACGATAAATCCAAGCATGGCCAGGAAACGAGGGATGCGACGTAAGGAAATTTTTTTTTTTTTTTCAAAACCTTTTCCCTCTATGATAAATTTTTCAACGATTCATAATGCAATTTACGTTCCATCCGGTATCCCTGTGCAATTAACGTCACTGGGATACAAATTGCGCGTAATTAATGCCTTACTCGTAATTTCTCAAAAGATCGTTAATAAGTCCTACTGTAGGCTCGGGTCGTACTGCTAGACAATTTGTTTCTCGAGATTTTCTTCCAAGAGACGGGACTCGTCGTCCGTTCTAATAAAAGCCGACGTTTCGAAATCCGAGACAGGTAAGATAGACGTGTTTACTTGGGAAATTGACAAGTCCCACGGACAGATAAGATTCCAGAACGTCTGTACAAACTCTGAAGTGTTGCCCAGCAGAGCGAAGGAGAGTAAAAGAAAGTTATATGGAGATGGGAAATGCAGAAGAACGAAATGAGCTAGAAAAAAAAAGTGTGAGGAGAGATACTTAAAGGTACATAAACAAAAAAAAATGTGATCAACATTAAAATCAACAACAACAATAAACACCTTAACCGACTGACCACGTAGACGTCACAGAGTATATAAAAAAATTTCAAAAAAAATTTCAAAAAAGTGACAGAACAAATTTCAATCCCGAAGCTTAACGAGATCCAGCTTTTGACGTTGTGCAAAGAAACAAAGGATCGCGTAGAGCAAAAATAACAAAATAAATTCGTCCCCTCTCGTTGAGAACAAGAGCTCTCCTTTTTTTTTTCGTTTTTTTTTTTCCTCCGTAAGTTAATAAATAGAAATGTCAACTATTAATAGAGCCAGACTGGGCAGCGTTCCAGAGAACAAAAATTATACGAACACTTACCGGAATCCCCACTGCTCTCATACGTCTCTCAGAGACGTTTTTACAACTGCCATCGTGGGGTTAACCCACGTCAGCAGGCGCGTCACTTCTACCCTCTCAGTCTCGCTGCTACGTAGTTCAATAGGTTGAGTCGCGTCGCGCGAGAGAAACGCTCGTATAACCCGGCTTCTCGCGGATTTAAAGATAATTGTTAAAATCTCGAAGCCGCGTGGCTAACCACGAGACCGCGAAGGAAGCTATCTAAGCGTTGGCTTTGGCGTCGACACATGAAACAGTAATACCCTGTGCTCGCTACGAATCTCAGAAGTCATGCTTTTTCTCGCCATTAATTAAGCTCGCGTTATATAGGACGCTACACGTCCCTTTCTTCGACATCCTTTTTTGTCTCACGTTTCTCCTCTTCTGTCTCTCTCTTTCTCTCCCCCTCTCTCCTTTCTCTCTCTCCGTCTCGCTTCGTCGGACGGCTGCACGGCATCCTCGGAAAACAGTGGCTCGGCCACAAATTGGATTAACGAATCATAATGGTCTCTATTGTTGTCGCGCGAACCGTTGCACCAGCTGAGGTACAACTGCAGAAGACATAATTGAATACAACAACAAAATTGTGCATCGTGCTGCAGGCGTGAATTGACGTGACTCGATTCTTCGATCTGAATGTTGTCAATTTTTATTGTATACCGTTGTACAACGGTTTTAGATACAACTACAAATACAACAGCTGTGACAAATACAACGGAAGCAACCGAAGCTTACCCGAAGGCTTTGGAATTTTATGATGAAAATTTTGCGTTGGGACGATGGGATCGTGCTTCGAGGTTAAACAGTGCCGTTCTAAAAATACACAGCTAAAGAAACGAGCTACGCCCGGACGTCCGACAAACAAAGAGCCACCTAT